TGCCTGTCACAGAGCTGGCACTTGATAGTATCATGTGACAGAGGGAGGGACATACTTCATGGGACTGTGGAGGACTCGCCTGTCTGTTCATGGATGCATTAGGTCAAAGGAATGGAAAGGTAAGTAATGACCTAGTCGAGTCTTTGGATTTAGGTCTAGAGGGTATAGAAATTTCTATTTCTGATAACACAGAAAGGGCTCAAATATTCACTTTGAATTTATAAAGGAGTTTAAAATTCTGCCTGCAGGTAAAGGGCCCACTCTAGCCCTCCCACAGTTCAACTTCGTGATTAAAGCTACCTAGGACACCTGGCTGCACAGAGTCACCCTCTGCCCTTTACCCAGAGCTCCTCCCACTCACCTGCTGTCATTGCTTTATTGGAAGTGCCTCTGTTGTCCTCTTCCATGTTCTGCCACGTTCTTGTAGGCGCCCTCTACCAAAAGAACAGGGCTCCGTCAGGGCAGGTATGTCGATTCCTGCCCAGAGGCTCACCAGCTACTGCTAAGTCCAAATACCTCAGCCCAGCCCTGTTTCCCCTTTTCCCACAGATGAGGGCACCCAGTCCCCATGTGCGGTCTCCTCGCCTCTCACCACACCTCACCCCCTCTGTGTCCTGGACCCACCCACAGTCCTGGCTTCACCTCCTGGCCTCTCTCCCTTGCTTGCTAGACACGCCTGCTGCAGTGATGGCTTAGTTGCTTCCAACCTCAGGATTCTCACACTTGCTGTTTCTAAAAAACCATGTGGGCTTATAGTTTGAATTTTCTGTTTGATATTAACTGTATGATGGCAGGGACTGGGTCTGCCATATTCACAGATATAGCCCTAACCTCCAGCACAGCATGAGAAATAGAATGAAGAATGAAGAAGTGCAGACTCTTGATAAATGCTTAATCATGATATGATAGAGAGGCAGAATGATTAAATGCATCATTGGATGAATACGTGGATGGATGAATGGATGGGTAGATAGATGGGTGGATGCAAGATTGGATACATTATTAAATGGAGGATGAATGGATACATGATTGAATTATTGGATGGATGGATCGGCGAATAATTGAATGGAATGATGGTGTCAGCCATTGTTCTAATTCTGTGAATGAAAGTGGGAGGCACATAAGCATCCCCAGCCCCAGATTCTGAGGTTTAGCTTGAGTCCATATGTGCTGTGAACTCCTTTTGAATCATACCTCCTCTGCCCACCATCAGGCAACAGGTCTTTTACTTTATTTACCAAGCCTAGTTTCTATTTTGTCTCCTATGAGACATCCCTGAGCTGCTGCCTCAGTCCCTGTCTTAGTCACCTGACTAGATGCTCCCTCCAGCCCTCCCAGCCTGCAGCCTGAAATGGTCCCTGCTCATGTCAGACGCCACCTGGAGGGCTGCCCAGGTTGGAGGAAAGGTTTTCTCAACAGAAGCATCTTGGCAACCCACCACCTCAGCCCCAAACTGTCATCTAGTGGCACGAAGCCAGCTATGGCTATTTCCCTTCTTAGTAGCTTCAAAGTATAGTTCTCATGACAGTACATGAACTTTTATTGTTCTTTTTCACCCAAGAAATGCTCAGTGTCCCTTTTAGGACTCTCTGCAAAGAAAGAATGTTTTCTTCTCTTACCTGGATATTCTTTCTTATCTTTGTGGTTTAGGAATGGCTCTTCTGGGGAAAAAAAAATGAGAGGATTAAATGCCTTTCAGGAAGTTTATAAGGCTCAAACTAAAGAATTGTTTGTGTTTTTCATTCTCATTCTGTCAAGAGCATTCAGCAGACTTTTCCAGAGGCTCCATGACTTTGATATCGCAGCCAATCCAATGCAGAGGCAGATGAGAGAATCTGGTTCTCTTCTCTCAATTCATATACAGAATTGTAAAAATGTAAAACCATACTGCTTTTCTCACTATTTTTTGTGTTGAAAAATAGCTATTTTTAAGAAAAATCTTTACTACATAATGAATTTATCAGTGTTATTTTAATGAATTAATACATACATATTTTTAATGTCTCAACTTTAGTTTCCAATATGGTAAATATCACAGTCACGCAAAGAAGAGCACTATGAGGTCCTCAATATATTTTGAGCATAAAAGGATCCTGAGACCAAAAAATTTGGGAACTACTATTTTCTCAGATGAACTGGAAGCATAATTTCAGCATATTGTTCAGCAAATGTCATCACAAAGTATGTTCACATGGGGAGTAAATGGCTTTTTTTTTTTTTGAGAGAGAGAGAGAGAGAGAGAAGGGAGGGGGAGAGAGAGAGAGAGAGTAATCTTGATGTGAGAGAGAAACATCAACTGGTTGCCCGAAATAGGGACCGAACCTGCAATCTAGGCATGTTCCCTGATGGGGAATCGAACCAGCAACCTTTTGCTTTGCTGGGCACTGCCCAACCAGCTGAGTCACATCAATCGGGGATCTTTTTTTTTTTTTTCAGTCCTTTCAAAAGAAATGCATAAGTGTCATTACCGCAAATGACAAAGTAACTTGAAAATGAATCTTCCCTCAACTGCTTCACTAGTTCTCTCTGAGTCTTAATTTTCTCACCCAGGAAATGGACAAAAAATTAGCATCTCTTCAGTTATTGTGAGGATTAAAATAAATTATTTCCTTTACAACATACATATGTACATATTAGAAGGAACCATATGAAATTGCCATTTTTGTGTGTAAAAAGCAGTCAACTCTTGGCAATTTGATATGTCTCCAATTACTTCTTCCTGCGGATCGTCCTTAACGCCCCCCTTCCCTCGGGCCCCACAGCAGAACATTTGGGGAAGAGCGGAAATCTGGCCAGAACACAGCGTTTCATGTGGCATTGCCTACATCAGTTAACTCCCTCCTCCCCTTTGGTGCACTGGCCTTGTCTGGCAGCTAGCTGCACGACTGAACAATCACATTTATGCACCTGAACTCATATTGTATTATATCTCAATTAAAAAAATCACCCCTATGCATAGCGGGACATTTTGTTTCCTTTTGTTTTATAGCCATCCTAAAAATCATCCAGGTATTTAGGACCAACACTGACATTCATTGTACCAGGTGACAGAGGCCAAGGGAGCAATAAACCAAATTGTAGGACTTTTTTCCAGGCCAGAGACTCTGCAACATTCCTGCTTCCCCCACTCCTTGGGGATGAGTTTCAGCCAGTAATGACAGCTCAAGGCTATGGACGTAAACTTCCTTTATTCTTCTCATGACACAGAAGGCTACGTCACTTGTCAGAGGTGAGCACGGGGCCCCACCTCCCACGTCTCGGCCACGGATGCTCAGCCTCTGAGCGGCCTGAACCCCCTCGGAACAGCGCACTGACCCCCAGCCGCTGCTCTCCAAAAAGTCAGATTCGCCACATGTGTCAGTGGTCACTTTCCTCCTGAGAAAGACATGAACTCCTCAAGAGTCGGGTTCCAGGCTGACGGACTGTGAAATCTAACTGGTCATCAGCCCCCTCTAGAAGTTAGCTCTCAGGGGAGACTGGCATCTCAGGGATAGGCATGAGATCTGCAACTGAGTCTCAAATAGTCCTGAAAAATAAATGTGGAGATTTATACAGAGAGAGGGTGAAGGTGAGGAGAGGGAAACAGAGTGATAAAACAAATGTGACAATATTTTAACAGTTGATGAATGGGGTAGAGGGTCCAAGGTACTAGAGGTACAGTTGTGAGTATGTGAAACACAGAGTTCATTCTTGTATTATTACTTATTTATGCGTTATTTTCCATATAAACAACTGTAAACCTACTTTAGCCCCACCCTGTATTCTTTTCACTTTTCTGTTTGTCTAAAATGACTTAAAGTATGTATTTAAAAAATATTTAAATAAAAGGCTTCTTCCTTGTTTGCCCAGCTCTGACTGCCTCACTCCTTAATGAGACCTTTGCTTCAAGGAGTCGTTGGAATTCAGGATGTTTCCAAAGACCCTAGAAGTACCAGCAGTTTTTGCTGAGTGTCAGCCCCCAGGCCTGGGGCCAAGACTAGAAATGTCATTTACATTCTCTCTGCAAGGCTCAGATCTTCCAGTGAGAGGAGAGGGGACACACACACGCACGCATGCACGCATGCACACACAGGCTTTGGAGCAGGTGGATAGGCTTGAAATTCCCACTCTGCTCCCTGTTAATTGTGTGCTCTGCCTGGGCAAGGTTTTGAACTTGTCCCCTTCTTTCTGTAAGAAAGAGAGATAGCAGTGTACATTCCTTGAGGACCTACTAGGTGACAGGCACTGCTCTAAGCACCTTACAAGTGCTCTCTTGTTGAAGACTTGCAATTACGCCATGAGGCAATTACTATCAAGACCATCTCCAGCTCCTTTTACAGATGAATAAACTGAGGCTAAGAAAGGTTAGGTTCCCTGCCCAAGGTCACCAGGGAAGAAAGCCATAGGATTTGAACCCATTTTGGTAGTTCTGAGCCCACACTCTTGACCGTGATGCTGCCTCCTGGTTATGCCGTCCTCTTTACAGGCTTGCGATAAAGCTTAAAGGCAGCACCCTTTGCGGCACCCGATTGACAGCAGGCATCACCTAACTGGTTTCTTTGCTTATTATCTTCATTCTCAAAGTGGGTCTCATATAACGAAGTGAGCAAGATGAGGAGACCAGAAAGGCAAAGAAGTTCCAGTCCTTTTCAGGTGTGACATTACAGTCCACAGGACTCCTGACTCACCCCGCAGCTCTCTTTTGATTAAGGCTGTTAAGTCCATACACTCCAGCACGTTCCTCCAGGCTGGCCTGCCCTCGGGGTTTTGTACCTGGCTGGACCGCATACCCCACCCACCTACGGTTTGATTTGCTGTCTGAAGATTCTGTTCTGTGCTTGGGAAGCAAGAGGCATGGCAGCTTAACTATTATGAGTCCATATTACAGAGAAGGAAAATGGAGTCTGGACAGGTTCTATCTGGGTACACGACAGTGAGGGGCCAAGCCGCCCCTAGCATCCAGGCTGTCAGGTTGAAGAACCCACTCGTAACCCCAAATAGCAAGTAGAATGCAGTAGAAATCGCAACGATGCCTAATTGGTTCAAATCCTTTCATGGGCAATTTTTTTTTTCAAAGCTCAGAATTCCAGGGATCAGGATTCTCAAGACAGCTCTAATGTCTCATAATTTTATTATTTGCGATGATAATGTTGCTAAAGGTGTAACTGGTTTAATGTGTATGTCTTTCTTGAAACACTTCAGAGAAATACATTCTCAAGTCAGAAAAAAATAAAAAAAGCTTTGGCAGACCATGCCCTCTGGTGTGTTCTTTTGGCCAATAGGATCACTGCAATTGACGAGACTGAGGGCGCTGTCTGTGAGCTCGGAGATGCAGACGTGAGGGCGTGGGCCCCCGAGTGTGTGGATCCGGAGTTCCAAACAGTTCGCCTTTGGTAAGCCACCTTACGTTTCCCTGGAGTTCCAGCTGCTTTGCTTGCCACACATTTCTTCCGAATTCACACCAAACCTCTTAACCTTATGTCTTGCATCAGGCACCCGTGGATTTTAGATACTGTCATCAGTCCTTGCTCTGTTGTCCTTGCCCTTCTTGGGGAAATTATGCAAACTCAAATGATGCTATTATGCCCCTCACCGGTCCATTTGCCTTTCTCCCCGAAGACAAAAACTAATTAAGTCACATAGAATGGTCCTAGCAGAGAGTAAGGGTTCTCAGGCAGTTCAAAACATAGATATAAAATATCAGATGTTTACTCAGCCCTTAACATGTACAATTTAAATGAATCCCCATGACAGCATAAAGTGGCCCCATTTTACAGAGGAGGAACCTGCAGCTCAGAGACTGAAGCACTTGACCCCAAGGTCAACCACTTAGGAGGCAGCAGAGCTGGGGTTGAAGGCCAGGGTCACGGACAGACGAAGGGACAGGGAGGAAGATCTGAAAGTAGGGCAGGGCAGTGGGAGGACAGGAGGAGCCCTGGGCAGGCTCTGGGGGCCAGTGGTTTTACCTGCGACACGCAGGGGTTACAGGAGAGGGAGGATGGGGCAGGGGCCAGGGACAGGGTTTGGACACCACACTCACCTGCTTGTTGGCGCTGCTTGACGCAGTGCCCGTGGTTGGGGATGCCCTTGGCCTTGTCCCCCGGTAGCACAATGTGGCACTCATAGCCTGTGGGACACAGGAGTGGCTCCACGCCGTCCGCTGTGGTGCTGCAGATCTCTACTGTGGGAAGGACACATGCCAGGGTCTCAGGGGCGCCCCTCCATGGAGACAGTGAATGTATGTTAGCCAGAGGGGCCACCTCTCATTTGTGTCCCCCACCCCCTTCCGGGCTGTGCCTTAGGTCTCACTCACAGTGTTGCGTGCACATGTACATATGCACACACGTGCACACACACAGAGCAGTCCAAAGCCACATGATCCCAAATATGTCCTCTCATGCATAGTGCTGGGCATGCATGTATGTTCACTCATGCACCCTGAGACATGTTTGTGCTTACAGTCACCTATGTACATGCATATTTATGCACAAAATGCCTAACATGCACACATGCTCACACGTCACACACATATTTTCACCACCCCACAACGCCTAACACACAAATATATACTACACACATACAGCCACCCACACACAGGTTCACATGACACAAATCCTGCACACACACATTCACACTTAGAGCTACACACTTTTACATCAACACAGATGCACAAATATTCAGACATACACGGCCACACAGTTTCTTGCACAGCTGCGACCCCTAATGGACTCAGTCTCACACACAGAAGTGTGCAGAATCACAAGCACAGCCACACATGTGCAAGGGCACACACTTGAACCCTTACAGTTTTCTAGGCCCCGGGCCTGCATGTGGTCCTTTTCAGAAACTGCTCTCCACCCCCTGCGGAGGCGGCCTCGTCATCAAGAATCAGCAAACCCCTTATTATGATTTTAGGATCTGTCAACCCCCACCCCCGGCCCCCTCCCTCTCAATTCTCTACCAGGAAGGAGGCCCCATTCCCAGGGAGAGTCAGGCCCTGTGCTGTTCTGGCTGTGCTGAGAGCCTGGCCAAGCCCCTCCATCGCCCTTCTGTGTTGGGGTGGGGGAGGACCCAAGAGTCGGAGTATTTGGGGACAGTCAGCCAGCTGAAGCAGGAGCAGCCCCTGTTATCAGTATTCTGGTGGCAGCCTGAGAAGGAGGGATCCCAGCTCTGACATTGGGTCTGGGCTTCATCCTGCAGGTACCTTGTGACACCTCCTTAGGGCCATCCAGGAGCCAGCCGTTGCCACCGAGCCACAGAGGTTTCGGCTCTACCAGCCAATCTACAACTATCAAAATAATACATGGTTAAATTGAGGCCCTCGTCAGGGGGCTAAGAAGTGCGCCAGCCTCTACGGGTGGGAGAGCCTACATTTCATGACAAAACACAGAGTTTCCCCGGGGGAGAACCACCTCGTTCCCCAGCAGACATTTGCCCTGTCTTTTAGTAGTAGACCTTTGAGTTCTGGCCAAGCTGGAGACTACATTTCCCAGCTTCACTTGCAACTAGGTGTGGCCATGTGACTGAGTTCTGGTCAATGGAATGTGAGCAGAAGTGATGATATAACTTCTGGTCTTGCTCTTGCATTGATGCTGGTTTTCTCCTCTCCCAGGTGCTTCCTCTCTCCCTCTTCCAGGCTGGGAACCACTTTGACCATGTGGAGCAAAGAGATGGAGGGAACTTGGGTCCCTGCATAACTGTACATCAGAGCCACCTGGCTGCCATGGACTGTCTATCTATCTCTGGCTTATTAACTGAAGCAGAAGTAAATGCCTAATAGCTTGGACCTCTGGGTTTATGGGTCTTTTTGTTACAGGAGCACAGCCTGTTCTATAACCAATACATTTTTAACCAGAAAAGTAACCCACTCAGTAGACTGGAAGGTTTTCAAAAACCCAAAGCAGGCGTTAAAAGCCCAAGTGCCTCCAGGGAACAAATAAGTAACATAAAGGAGAACAGGCCAGGTAGGACAAACAGGTATGGCAAACTGGAGAGCGTTTCTTCCTCAGTGGAGCTGCTGGTCAGCTCTGGCCAGCCATTCCCAGGGTTCCCAGAGCTGATTTTTGTTTTAAACTATAAAGCTATATTTTAACAAATATAAGTCTTTTGGTTTTTACATGTTGGCAATGAATTTAAAAATTTTAAGCACTTTGGAAATCAAATAAAGCTGGTCTGGAATTACAGTTTTTGGGACCTCTGCTTTAGTCTGATTCAGAAACTGACAAAAATAGAGAGGTTCATGTGCTGTCTAGCACCTTCAAAAGTACAAGATGGGCATTGGTAAAAATGCTGGTTAGGTTTTTCTTTAAAAGAACATGAGATGATTGCTCACAGCATGGAAATTGAAACAACAGAGGAACAAACCAACAATTTACAATTTCCAAACTAGAGGGATGGTATGTCGAGGTTCTGCAGCCAGTATTTTCAATCTTCTGGTTTTTCCCTCCTTCTTACCACATGATAAAAAATATTTTCAGTGCTACCTTTTACCAAATAAGAAATATATTAGTGCTATTTGTATTCTTCTTTGCATTGATCACAGGCTTCTGAGCAGCAGGGAAATGCATGCATTTTGCTATACTTTCTGGAATCCTGAAACTTGGTTAAGGCCTCCTATCAATTTGCAGACTCCTAAAGGCCTGGAAGCCCATGATCTCGCCTCTCTGTTCCTTCACTAGAGCTTCCTGGGATCACCTGCTAAATAAACCCCCTGCACCCCAGTCCTTATGCTAAGATTTGCTTTTGATAAGTCTCTCCACCTGCTGGGAATGCAACAACATGTGTAAGTAAGCCCCTTAGAATAGGGGCTGGTGCTTTTCAAATCACCTGGTTCTCAACTTGAAGCAATTTTGTCCTCCATGGAACATTTCGCAAAGGCTAGAGGTATTTTTGGTTGCCACAATGCGGGGTGCGGGAACTACTGGCATCACGTGGGTAGAGGCTAGGAATGCTGCACAACATCCTGCAATGCCCAGGGCAGCGCCCCTCACAACCTCAGTTAGCACTATCGAACCCCAAATGCCAAGAGTGCCAAGGGTGGGAAACCTTGTGTTAAATATTATTACAATGGTTATTCCGACTATCTAATGGCTCTTCCTGCTGGCCAGTGAAATCTAGTCGTTTTATTATTTTTATGAATCACTGATTCACTGAATAACTTTTAGGGGTCTAGAGATATTTTAGGTGGTGGGGATGCAGAAGTGAATGCAATAGACCAAATTCTCCTTATGGGGCTGACCGTCAAGTGAGGGAACAGTCAACAAACAAACAAATAAAACACAATAATGCAGACTGGGCTACAAAGAAAACTTAAGTGGGGCAAGAGGGTAAGGAATGCCTGGAGGGGGGATTGCCATTTAGAAAGGGAACTCTTCCCTGAGAAAGTGATCACCTCTCGACACAGACCAGAGGGAGGTGAGGAAGTGAGCTCTGTGGGTGACTGGCGGAAGGACGTTTCAGGCAGTGAGGGACCCCGCACGCGGGCCCCGGTGCTGGAGCTCGGGCCCCACACCTCTGCACTCAGGGCAGTGGACACTGCACAGAAGACTGGATTGAAATTCTAGCTCTGGCTGTTGTGTATCCTCCAGCAAGTGACTCAGCTTCTCTGAGCTTCAATGTCAAACCGTAAAATAGTAGGGCTGATGACAGTCTCTTCATCCCCTGGGACTGTCTGAGCATAAAACAAGATGACGCGTGGAAAGGAATGTCATGGACAGTTGTACAGCTTGTGCACAGCTCAAAAGCCTCCGGCCCGGGTGGTGAGGGAAGCTAGAATCCCTGTGCCCTATGGCAGTCCAAAGGAAGGGGCACTTTTTTCACTGGCACACCTGGAGGGAAGCACTGTTATGTGCTTCTTCCACCAGGAGGGGGCAAAATGCTGCCTTTCTTATACAGGGCCTTGCGGGAGCCTCAGGGAGCACCAGTCCAGTTTCTGAACAAGAGGCAGTACTCAGACGCACCGTAGGCTATAATTACGAACATCATTAAGGGTGCTGAGTCCCATGTCGTCGCTGTGACCTCACTCCAAAGAAAAAACAAAGTGTGGTCGCTCTTGCTTTGGCCTTGGGAGGAGGGGTTGGGGCCGCCTTCGCAGAGCCACCTTTGGTGACCGAGGTCCGTGGAAACCGCAGGTATGTCCACACAGGCTGTCACTGGCTAAGGCTCAGCCCAAGCAGAACTGGAAGTCGGGGAAGCTTTACTGCCCCCATTCTAACGACTTAGGGACACTTTTTCTCCCCACAGAGGGAGGTACCCGTCCACACCTACCCTGACCCCCACAGAGTGCTCCCCAAGGGCTCCTTTCCATCTTGTCCTCAACCTGCTCTCCAGAGGGATCGGAAACTTTTTCCTGTCAAAGATGAAGCCCTGAGAACTCTTTCTCCCAAAGGGATTCGCATTAAGATTATACATGTTATTGATTATCTGCCCCTAGCCCTGAAGGGGCCCCAAGCACTTCCAAGTGCTCACACTCGCCATGAGCTGCACATTCTCATTTCAGTTGTTTTACAGGTCGGGACACCTACGGAGTGGACCAGGAGTCTGCACGCCCCTGCCTCTCTGGGCACACCCCATCCAGACTGCGAAGGTCCCAGGTTTCCATTTCAAATGCCCCCAAGGCTGGGCGTCAGGAGTGAAGGGGGCCCGCTGGGGCCCGAGAGAACCCGAGAGGCCCGCTGCCACAGAGGGGCACGGGAGGCTCCAGCAGAAGGCGGCCCAGGGAATGCTATCCAGTATTTTAAGAAAAGCCAGAGATCGATTCTTATGAGACCTCTCCCTCATCTTCACAGAAGGGGTCATTTTCGCTGCAACATGCATTTCCTGGACTGAGCTCTCTGAGGGCACCGGTCCTCAGTACATCCAGCTGGACACTTGCTCAATGAGCCACAACGTTCCCATTTCATAGGTGGACCCGTCCAGGTGGCCTAAGGTTAATTAAGCCCATCTGTGTTCCTCCCGGCCGGGCCTCCGGGCAGGGCAGGCTAGTTCACCACGGTCCCGGCAGGGCCCCATTTCCCCGGCCCCAGCAGCGCCTACCTGGCGGGGGCGGCACCACCTCCAGGCAGGTGTAGGTGCAGCCGTTGTAGCAGCAGCGTTGGCCGAAATAACAGTCCAAGTCGGCCCGGCAGCGCACCACCTGACAGGCTCCAGGCGGCTGCGAGCGCGGGGGCGGCGGGCAACTGTCCTCCTCGGGCTCCTCGGGCTCCTCGGGCCCATTCTCCTCCTGGGCCTGCGGGGAGAAGGCAGCGTCAATGGCGCCCCCCGACTCCCCCGGCGACCACAGCCGTCGGGCCCGCGCTAGAATGCCAGCGCTGATTGGAGCTGTGCCCGGCAGGCAAGTCGTTGGGCCTCGGAGCCGCGGAGCCTCGGAGCCTCGGAGCCTTGCAAAAATGCAGTAGAAGCAGCCTGGGTGGGTTGCTCTGAGCATTACCAGAAGTTGTTTCTCTTTGCAATGGCCCCAACTGAAGTGACTGCAAGCCCATCAGCAGCAAAAAGAATAAACGAAATGTGAACAGTTTGTATGTTACGTATCTATCCCAATATGTGTATATGTGATATACACACATATATATCATATATATTTTATACATATATAAAACAGGATGTTTATGTGTGTCTGTATGTATATATAAAACGTGCATATGTACATACAGATATATTTCTCTATATACATGTAAATCTTATAATCCATATGGAGCTTTGAGAATTTACAAATCATACATAGAATGGATAAATTCACACAACTTGGATAAGTCTCACAAACGTAATATTGAGCCAAGAAAAAAAAAACTAGCTACAAGAGAACACACAGTCTCTTTATATTTTTAGTTCAAAAAGAGGCAAAACTGCTGTCTGGTGAGAGAAGCGGGGATCAGGGCCACTTTGTGGTGGTGACCGGGTGGGGCCCGGGGTCTCTGGAGGCTGGCCTTCTTCTGCTTCTTGCTGGTTCACTTTGAGCAGATTCATGGAGCTTGACACGCGATTTTTTCTGCTTCTGGTATTTAGTTTCAAAAAAACTTAGTAAGACACAGTACTTAATGTATAGGACGTAAGGCCATGGGACCAATACAATAAGCATGTTTGAAGGGAGATTGGGAGAGTTTGTCATGCCAGGCAACTCACTCTGGGTCCCTCTGACACCAGACCCCACCCGTGCCTGGAACATTGCCCTGTTTCTGGATTTGAAAGTAGAGTGTGCAGAGGGCAGGCTGCACATGGGCGCATGCACACACACACACACACACACACACACCCCTAGTTATAGAACAGGCTCACTGGGAAGAAGCAGCCGGCTTGCCCTGCCTCCTGGCTCATGCCCAAACTGCTCCTGCTACCTAAATTCCTATATACAACCCTCCCCCCCGCCCCATATTTCAAGTAAATAATGCACGTCTGCAGACGGGAGTAATGTACAGCCATCAAAACTTGCCCTGAATCTGCTTATGAAAGATCGCCAAGATACTGAGGTTTATGAAGAAATTACGGTAAAGAACAGTTTGTTTGCCATGTACCTATGTTTTTAAATGTGCATATGTACATATGTAATATGCATACATTTGTATGGGCCTAGAATATTTTTTGGAAAGCAATACATGAATACATGAGAAACTGTACAAGAATACACAATCCTTGCCTTTGGAGGCAAGAATTAGGTTGTGGGGGGAAAAAATTAAGTTGTTAAGCCAAGAAAGGTTTCTCCTCAGTGTTCACTATTTTGTTTTATTTATATATATATAAATATATAAATATATAAAATATGTACACACATATATACACATATATGTATATATACACTATATATATTTTTGCCATGCATACTTTTTTTCAATTTCAAGACAATTAAAAATTTTTAAAAACTGTAGAAGTACTTACGAAGAATTTTTAATGACAGGAAAAACACATGATATCCTAGTAAAAAAGAAAAGAAAAGGCAAGATACAAAATGGCATATGCCATCTATTCTTAACCAAAAACAGGGAAATTCGAGGATGCCTCAACATCCTTCCCTAGCAGTATCGCGATGGCTGCAAACTCCATGCGCTGCGCCCAAAGCCCTGTAGAGGGCGTCAGGCACCAAGAATAGGTCCCCAGCTGGCGCATCTCGGAACTGGTGCCATCCCAAGGACTAGCGATTTTAAAACTTCCTCCCAGGGGTCTTCCTGACCTCCCTACCCGCCTTCCCCATCCTCCCCCAAGGGATGAGACAGAGAGCAAGAGGGGAAGAAAGCAATAAGCAAGTTGGGTGAGAACAGGTCTCCCGTCCCCTGCCCCGGCTTCACGCACAAAATTCATTTTTTCTCCCTTACATAGGTCGTTAAATCTGTGAAAAGTACAAATGAACACAAATCCAACATTTCCAGATAAGGAAAGGAAAGTTTCAGAAGATCCGGCGTTCTTCCCAAAGCAAAGGGCAGATGGGAACATGGAACTTTAAGCGCCTGGTTGAGCCTTTTCCCTACCCCCTGCTCAGCCCGGTCCCCCTAATTCCAAGTGCCACCGTGAATAATTTCCAAGCTGCAAGCAGAGGACATAACCCTATGTCATTAGCTCTTGTTCATTTTTTTCAGAATTAACGACATTGGACTCATGTTGGGGCCCTGCCACTTTAATCCTAGTCGAATGTGACAGCTGCCCAGGCCTACTTCGGGGGTGACGGGGATGCCGGGCGTGGTCTGGAGGGGACGGCTCGCTCTTCCACCTGGCCTGCTTTTACATCGAGCTTCGTTTATGAAATTTAATGAAAACCGGAGGTCAGAAGTGAAATACTTTTCACCCCCATCTGAAGTCTCCCAGCGCAGTGACTCCCTAGCGGCACCCCAACAGGGGGTGTGTCAAGAGATCAATTTTAGATGCACCACTGCTCTCCCAGGAGAGGAAAGTTCAGCGTTTCTCAGAATTTGGAGAGAACAAAAGCAATGAGTGCCTTAGAAGTCAAATCTCCCTGAGTTATTTAGCTGGTGCCTTGGCAACAGCAGATGGTGGTGGGTGATAAAGAACTGATTTCCCTAAGGGGCCCAGATGAAAGGATTAAATGTTTTGAAAAATAGTTTATGTCCTGCAAGGTGATATTCAAAGAAGGTCCTAAACAAGGGATGTTTCCTGGAGTTCTGAGAAAAAATGGACTTTTTTTTTTTAAAGATTGTATGTATGAACGCATGTATTTATTTTTAGAGAGGGGAGAAGGGAGGGAGAAAGAGAGGGAGAGAAACATCAATGCACACGAGAAATATCGATAGGCTGCCTCTTGGACATGCTGCACTGGAGAATAAACCCAAAACCCAGGCTTGTGCCCTGACCAGGAATCAAACCAGGGACCTTTTATTTTGCGAACGACACCCAACCACCTGAGCTACATTTGTCATGATGAAAGAATGGGCTTTTGTCAAAGAAATAAATAGATCACCCTCTAATGTCTTCCCAGACCATGGGGAAGGATGGCTGTTGAAGGGTTAAAGGACAACGTCCTTGGCCTAAAGATCAAATCCAAGGTGCCCCCCCAACCCGGTCCCTCCATGTCTGTCCTCCCTCCCACAACGCTGCCCCTTGCTCGTTCCTGTCCAGGGTTCCGGCCTTGCTGAGGTCCCTGGGGCACGGTGAGACTAGTCCCACAGCTGGGCCTCTGTATGGGCCATGCCCCTCAGCCAAGATACCCACGTGGTTCTGGCCTCTAACTAGCTCCAAGCCCCTGATTATCGTGGGAGCATTATGTTCCACGGACTCATCAGTTTCTTGTTTTTCTCCCCCTACAACATGCTGTCCTTAGGAACTTGCTTTTGTTCCCACGTGTCCTGAGCACCTACACTCTCTGCAGCCCCAGCCAGCCCAGCCCTCCATTGCCTCTCAGTTGAAAATAAAATCACAGCAGGTCAAATCCCTCTAAGAATGAGGCAGCTCACCCCAGACTGACAACATCCTTCATGAAAAACCCAGAGCAACCCATGAATTTCATCTGCTATTTCCATTCCTACCAAGGGATTGTACAGCAGGCCTATGTCCAGCAGCTGCTGGACATACATTTATAGTGCACCTCAGACCAGAGCTGCCCAGTGCTGCATGCCTTACTTGGATAAAATTGACTCTCCTAAGGTTATCGGCCTGGTGGCTATTTTCTGCTTCTCGGGGAGATAGTCTTGGAGACTCTGTAGATTTGCAAAGCCATCCTGCTGCTATTAGGTGAGCAGGTTAGCAAAGTGTCAGTTCTGGCTCCTTCAGTATGCTAATCCAAGTCTGAGTTCACTGAAGCAAAGAGGCTGAATGTTTAATCCAAGGAGGCTGGACAAATAAATAATGGCACGTCTGTACTTTGGAACACCATAGAAGCCTTTGAAAAGGGGACACATATCTACCACATTAACATATTCACCATATATTGTTCAATGAAAAACGTAAGGTATAAAACAGTAAGAATAAATCAGACACAATTCCATGTGCTATATGACTCCATTTATATGAAATGTTCTGACTAGACAAACCTAGAGAGACAGAAAGCAGCTTGGTGGCTTCCAGGGACAGTGGGGGCGGGTGGCGGTGGGGGGGGGAATGGGGAGCGATTGCTTAATGGGTCTAGGGTTTCCTTTTGGGATGAGAGAAATGTCTTGGAACTAATTAGTGGTGGTGGTTGCACAATATTGTGAAAGTACTAAATGCCACTGAATTGTTCACTCTAACATGGTTATATGAATTTTACCCTAATAAAAAAAAAACTTTAAACAACACAAATAAAATCTCCTTAAGAAAAAAAATGTGTGTGGAGTATAACTGTTTCATAAAAATATCTAGGCAGGCATACCCCAAAATGTCAACCTAGCTTATGTCTTTGAGGAAGAATTTAAATCACTTTTACTTATTTATGACAGTCTGTCTGAATTTCTTTTACAGTAAACATCATTTTTATAATCAGGAAAACAATTGAAACTGTTTCCATTTAAGGAGAAAGAATCCAGTCTCCAGACCTGTCTCCATTTACCCAAGTCTTTCCCTCAGCCCTCCCCACCACATTCATTCTGTGTCTGCATCGCAAAGCTTTCCCCTTCTTTGGAATGTTCCAGCAACTTAAAAATCAGACCAATAAAAGTGTACCCCAGGATTTGTTTGCTTGGTGCAGGAAGAAAGCCAATTTTCCTCTAAGCAGTAATCGCTCCTCCTTTGGAATGTGGACGTCAAAGATCTAAAAATATGTCTCTCCTTAGAACAGAGGACATAGAGTTCAGTGTGCATTGACGAATGCCATTTCCTGACGCCCTGGGACCTTAGCACTGGGCTCCGAGGGCAGAATTTGGTGCATGGCTAATGGGACTTCCTCAGAGAGGTACTGGAAAAGAGGGATGTCACACTGGGGACAGCCCCATGTCAGCGCAAGCTGAGCAAGGCCGCAGACTCCACCAATTCTTCGACTGGTGTCCCCTGTGCACTGCGGTGCACCTGGGAGTCTTTTAGAACTGTCAATCCCTTCTATCCTTTTCTGGAAAGTTTTAACATGATTTATTCATTCATTTAATGGTAAAGGCATAGTTCCCAGGCCGACTACATGCCAGGCTCTGGTCTGGGTACAAGGAGAGCTGAGCTGAACCAGATGATGTTGTCCTTGCCTTCATGTGCCTTGGCTCCTTGACAAGTGACAAACACCGAACAAAACATCACACAGATAAAGCAAACTAATTGCTTTTTTTAAATAAAGTCATCTGCAAAAGTAGTTCATGAGAAACTAAATCAAACCACAGTAAAGAAATAAATCGTGCAGATAATAATAATGGAGCTAAATGCTATGAAGGGGAAGGGAAGATGTTATGAAAACATTTAAGTGAACTCTAAACAGGGACCAGTGCTGAAAGGACCCAGGTGAGGATGTTGGAACTCAGGAAATGAGGAGAGTGGAGGGGAGGTGTGTACAGCCCCAGGCCATCCGCCTCTCCCACTTTTGCAACTTAGCAGAAAACAGAAGAGATGCATTAGAAGGCTCTTGAGCCCACAGAAATAACAAGGGAGACGGAGGAACGCCAGCTTTGCATGGTTGCCGGCTCCTGCAGGCTTTTGTGCTCATCACTGAAAGGCACAGCTCTGGGTGGGCTAGTGCAGAGGGGTGCCCGTGAGCAGGCGGTTCCCTGTGATCCTGGCTGCTGCAGCGCATCGCTGCCCCCTCTGCTGGGCAGGCACTCCGGGCAGTGTGCAAACTGCACAGCCACTTCCCACAGCCCTGGATGGGAGCTTGAGGGGCAAAACAGACCCATGGCCGTAGCAACAAGCTGGGATTATTGGGCCACGCGGTCCCCAGGCTGACATGGCGATGGCAATGGGCCCCCCTGGTAGATGTGTTGAGAAGATCCTGAGAGTTGACGCGTGGCCAACTCTTGGCCTGATGCACAGGAAATGCTCAGGAAAGAATTGTTCTTGTGAGTTTCATTCAATGCCAGGAAAGAGAAGACCCAAACACCAGCTCCCCGGAACTGACCCTGAGCTCTCAGAAAAGGTCACTGGGCTACTGATAAACATTCCAGTTCTGTCTTATCTAGCCTCATAAATAATTGGTTCTGCTTTTTGTTTTGTTTTAAATTATGCAGATGTGGAGAGGGTGGCCCTTTGCCAGGCACGGAGCTAAGGGCTCTCCATGGTCTTCTCATTGGGCTGCAAAGCAGTCACTCCCGTGCTGCGAACGAGGAAGCTGAGGCTCAGAGAGGGGAGCCTTTTCCTTACAAGCCTCCCATAGGGGTCGTGTGGGAATAGAAGGCAGTGTCGTCCTCTCTGGCACCGTCTCTGAGTCACCAGGCTGGAACGTACACACTGTTCAGGAAGTTCCTCAGGGCCTGTTGCCCACTCCGCCGAGGGACAGGGCTTTGAGAAGGTGAGAGCCGGTGGCTGATGCAGGGGGCAGACGGCCAAGGGCTGGTCAGCGTTAACAGCCAGCTCTCAGGTACAGCCTTTGCCAGTGTCCATGGGCTGAAAACTCCCCCCGTGGCTGGTTTCCAGCTACCAACAGGAAGGTGCCGAATAAGAAGATGCAATAGCTCCTCAATAGCTACTATTTCCACCATACAGATATCATCAACATAAATAATCTCAAGAGAATAGTGAAATAAATAGAAAGTGATACAGTTCTAATGAATACTTCATTTTTAAAATTTAAATCACACAATTATACGTTTATAGGATTTAATTTTAGTGAGGGCTCTGTTTAACTCTCCGAGTGGGTCCAGTCTGGCTTCAGTATGTTACTGGACCCCGGGCCTCAGCCCACCCTGACCTGCTCCATAACACTCAAGGGTCCAGGGGCAAGGCTGAAGGTCTGACTCAGCTTGGGTGGGGCTGTGCAGGCCACGGGAGAAAGCCTTGTCTCTGAGTGTGCAGGGCCTGCTTCCTAGGACTCTTAGATTCCCTGTTGAACATTTGCAGGGAAGTTAGAATGAGAACTGGAAGGGCCCTGGCAGCCATCTGGTCCTCTGCCTTCATTTCCCAGGCAACAGCCTGAGGCCCAGAGAAGGGCAGTGAGCAGCCCAAGGCCGCAGAGCTCATCGCGATGCTGCTGAGATGAATTCCGGGGCCCGGGCACCCTGCCCAGCCTCCTTATCCTCTGGGCCACAAGTCAACAGCCTGTCTTTCCCCAGGGACTTTCTCTGAGGCAGGTTCTCGGCACAAATCTCTCCTGCGTCTCAGCACTGGGGAGGGCGTGCTGATGCTGCCGGAGAGAGCTCCAGCCCAGCAAGGGGCAGACAGGAAGTGCCTGCATTTGACAGATGCTGGCTGGAAGCAATGAAGTTTCTGAAGCCCTTCCAGGCCTGTGTTTTTAAAGAGGCTCCCCCCATCCCCGTGCACATCGTCCTCAGGCCCCACTCCCAGCCTCACCATTCCTCCCAGTGAGATGTCACAGTGTCTGCTCCCATGACACTCCAGGACAAGGCAGAGATAAGACCAGAAAATGTATTGGAAATCTCTTTGTGGTCCCCAGTGCTAAATACCTGGGAGGATGAAATCATCCCATTGGGCCAGCAAAGAGCATGGGGCAGTCAAACCTGGGAAAGGCCTCTCTCTCTCCTTGCACACACAAGCCCTCTCCTTTAGTGAGGACTGCCCCCTCAGGAGCTCTGAGAGGCACTGTGTCTGCCTCCACCCTTTAACCCACATTGAGTCTCTTCCAGGAATGTCATTCTGTCCAGGGTCTCTCCTCCTCCAGGAAGCCTTCTGTGACTATGCCATCTCCAGTGAGCTCTCCCTCCTCTAAACACGTACCATTATTTCACTCACTACTACTCTTTTCCACTTCCAGTGACCTCCTGCCTGACCTATAGAATGTGAGTCCTGAAGGATGAGATTAGCCTCAGTACAGTTTGATGCCTGTGTTCTCTACTGTGGTGAACACTCTACCATGCCTGTGTTCATTAAATAGCCCCTCTCCCATGTCTCTACCTGGCAAACTCCTATTCATCCTTCAAAACCCCAGGCTAAATGCCTCCCACCCCGGGGAACTCTCCCTCACTCTCCTGGAGCAGAGCCACACAGGGTCTTCTGTGCTCCCATTGCATTTGCCCATAACTTCCCCCCATTGCACTGGGCCCCAGCTTAATGACAGGTACCAGCAAGGCACCAGGAACACTGCGCTAAATGAGACAGAATCAGGCTGTACTCTGAGGAACCTATATTCCACCTGGGGAGGCAAGCATCCACTGACTTCACAATTATTTAATTAAATGTCACCCAGATGCACTGATCATTTGCCATGTGCTGAGAACTTCATGCATATTGAGTCGTGTCATGCTCCCATGTACACTGAGAGTGCTGGTGTTACCTTCTCGACCCTTTGACACCTCTGTGCTCCTGGGGCGGGGGGATGGACCTCCGCACTCCTGCCCTCTCCTCCAGTCCCCTTCCTGCTTTATTTCTCCCCTTAGCACTTGTCACCAAACATGCTAAGTCTTCCTTTTATTTCTCACTCATTCTCTGTCTCTCCTACTATAACATGTATTCCTGAAGTCAGGGATCTGATGTCTGTATCCCCACAGTCTAGACAGTGCCTGGTAAACAGTGGTGATCAAACACACTTGTTGAAAGAAATGTATCATTCTGTTGTTTTCAAAGGAGCGGATGAGATCACTGGTGCTCAGAGAGGCCAAACGACTTGCCTGATGTCACATCATGGGTGTGCAGAAGAGCCAGAACTCAAACCCAGACCCCTGGCTCCAGACACTGGTCCTGACATATGCCATCCCTTTGTGCTGCCCTCACCTATCACCTGGCTACCTCTCCCATGGGACTATGTCGCCCTCGAAGGGGGAGCTGGTGTCTCCTCCATCTTGTGCCCACTGGACCCACCACAGCGCCTGGCCCAGAACAGTGTCCAGTAAATGTTTACTCAATGACCAACTGCACGAATGCATACTTACATTTCATAAACCTTTAGTTATTGATTGTTGGGACACAGCACTCAGTTTTGAGTCTTAGGACTCAGGTGCTGTTTTGTCAGGAGAAAGCATACTTTAGTAGGCAAAAGCACATCCCAGTCCCCCTGCACATTTTTGGTGTTCTCTTTGCTTCTTTGCTTGCAGACGAGGAGCCTTTTGAAGATATGAGTTCCATATGCCTACCACTTGACTTTGACACTTGCAGATAAAGAAGGACACCTGCCCTGCCCGCCCGAGTTTGGGGGACGCTTATAGAACATACAGTGTCCAGGGTCGGCTCCTCTCTTCCCAGCCTCCCCGCCTCCGCACTCAGGGCACTTACGTGGGATTTCTTAGGCAGGCTCGCATACCATGACCGTTTCCAGATGTTCTTGGCAGAGGTGGCTTCCAGAAGAAGCAGAGAGCACAGAATCCAGATGACCTTCCTTCTGCCGCTGCCCATCCTGCAGCTGGTAGAAGAGGTTTCCTCCCAGATGTTCAGAAGAGAAGGGCCCTCCCCGCAGGTGGGTCCTGTGCATGGGGAGCAGAAATGTGCATAGTCTGCCAGCCTGTCTTAGCTCCATTTAACAGAGTCCCTCCGATCGTGTGTCCACGCCCAGCACATGCCCCCACCCCCAACCCCACCCCCGATGGTGGCCAGCCCCCCTGGTTATTTTTAGTTTGCCCTATAACATCTGGCCCCAGAGAGTCCAACCAGGCAGTGGTCAGCTGGCCGGGGGCAGGCGGGGGATGGGGGGGTGGCAGGGATGGTGGCGCCTCCTCCTGCTGCACCACCATCCCGGGCCCCCGCCCCCCAGCCGGCCTGCCACCGGCTTGCTTGGAGACGTGGCTGGGAGTGGCCTGGTCACACTGGGATAAGGAGCACTTCCTTGCTGGCTGGGGCGGTCTCTTCCAGAGGAGGTATGCTGGCTTCACAGCTGGGACGGCTGGGGCGGGTGGGGGTGGGCACGCAGGGGAACCAGCCCAGTAGGATGGGTGGGGACTCCAGCTGCTGCCTCATCCAAATCCGAGCTGGGCTGACAAACTCTGTCTGCCCACAAAGGCTTCTCTGGACGACACCGCTGAATGGGGGCTGGCTGAGCAGTGGCTGCGGGGTGGTCACTCGCCCCCTCCAGTGCTGGGGGCCTTCTCTCTAACGTGGGCACACAGACAGTTCCTCACATCGTGTGTTTCTTGGGAGAGTTGGAGGAAATTGTGTGCGTGAAGGGTTTCACATACATCATCCGTGTTCTATAATGTCTGTGTGTGCGTGTTTTACACAGGGATCAGTATTTCACACACTTTGTATATAGTCCAACACCTGTTCACAGCAACCCCAAGACAGGACCTGTTCTGATGCACAGTTCACAGACGGGGAGACAGAGGTAGAGTACTTGCCTGAGGTCAGGCAGCTGGTAGCAGAGCGGCTGCTCAGCCCCAGACCTGTCTGCTCACTGTGGCCCACCCCCGGGTGAAGTGGGAGGGACCCAGGCTCTAGACTTAGATGCACCTGGGCTACGTCCCAGCTCAGCTTCTGCCTGTGTGATGCTGAATTCTCTCCTGCTACTGCCCCTCAGTCCTTTCATCTGGGACACCAAGTCTGTGGTCCTTTATTACAGTGGCAGCAGGAAGCTCATACACACCACAGTGGGATGTTGGCTCCACAAGGTCAAGTATCTGGGCTTTATTGCCTGCACCCCCATGGCTTCCACAGGGCCTGCCCGCATCAGCACTCAGTAAGTGCTGGCTAGGTGTACAAAGTCTCCATTCGTGCTTCCCTCAGTATGTGGCATAGGGCTTGACATACAGTAGGTGCTCAATAAATGATCTTCAATTGAGATATCAGTTCTGCAGTAGTAGTTGGACCACAGGAACAATGGCTGTCAAGCAGCGACCCGTCAGTTACTTTCTTGCCAACATTAACTTGTAAAAACGACCCTTCAGAGTCTCAAGGACAGCAAGGTGATGACTCCAGCAACACAGCAACACTGCAGGTTTTATGCAGAAGGAGAAAAAGCTCCAAGAGGAGAGATTAACAAGGAACAAATTTACCCAGGAAAGCAGTCACACTCCTCTGATCAAGGACAAGCAGGATCTGGTCAGACAGCCAGCCGAGGGACTCCTGGCTGCAGGCCCAGGTGGCAGCCAGGGCCTGGGGTCCAGTGGATTTCAGGGCCGGCATCTCCTCCCAGGCTCCTGCCAAGTCTTAGAACTCTATATTCCAAGTGGCAGAGGCCTTGGTTATCTGAGCGCTGGTGACCGGGGCTTGATCCCGAGCTCAGTGGGCTGTCCTCCCATGAGTGTGGCTCCCTGCGGTCCTGTGGGCAAGGTTTCCCCTGGGAAAGCCTTGGAGCTGGCCAGGCCTTTCACCGGCTCCGTTCTGAGGGGCCTGCCGCTGAGGCCTGCCTTCCGGGCTCTGATGGCTGCCGCCTGCCTAAGGCTCCCTGCCCTCCAAAAAGGGAGGAAAATGTCTCCTTGGAAAATATAAAGGGCACAAGTCCTTAGGGACCTCACTCGATGGAGCAGACAGAGGACGTAGCTCCCAGTTACAGGTTCTCAGGATAAATCCTGCCCCTCCACACATGATAAAACTCCCCCACCTGATCACGAGGCTTTGTGCTCCTTCCCCAGGGAGGCAAAACATTTTCTTCCATAGTGCTCTAGGAAAGGGGACAGGGTAGCATTGATTCATACTTCACACTAAAGTGTGAATGACTTCCAGCAGAAAGAAATATACAGACAAATGAAGAACAGAGTATATTCATTCATTCATTCATTCCAACATTTGAATGCCTACTATGTGCAAGGCCTAGAGATACCAGAGAGAGCAAAACCAGGCCTGGCCTCTGCATTTATGGGACTTCAAATGTGTTTAATAATCACTTAGATGGCTTTTTTTTTTTTTTTTTTTTTTTTGGTGCCGGGCACAGTTTTGAGTGCTTTAAAAATATTCACTCATCTAGTCTATCACAACTGTGTTAGCTAGGTACTCTTAGTATCCCTGTTTCACGGACAGAGAACCTGAGGGTCAGAGAGGTGAACAACCTGCCCAGCTACACACAGCTGACAATCAGTAAGCTGGACTCAAACCCAGACATTCACTTTCGGAGCCTGTGCTCAAAGTCATTACACTGCCAGTCCGCAGGGCAGCTGAGTTCCAACAAGGACACATAATGGGGGGAGCTGACCTAGTTAGAGGGGCCATACCCGAGAACCAAAAGACGAAGCTGGAAGGAGAATGGGTCTCAGATTCCGACAGACCAGGCCGCTGCCGGGGGGGTGAGAAGGAGGCAGGCCGCTCACCTCGGTGTGGGCCTTACTCTGGTGGCTTGGTCGTGCCACCATCCAAATCGAGCCACTTCTTCTTCAGGCCCTCGGCACTTTTGCTTACCTGGGCTCCTTCCTCTATTACAAAATATTAAAAATGTTTTTAAATGATTTATTATAGCTCATTGATAAAAAGACAAAAGTAATACTGAGGCAGGATAGTAAAAAGCTAGGAAAATCCCTTGGCGAGGAGAATGAGGAAAGTGAGACAGATAGTCAAAAGGCCAAGCAATTTACAGCCAGGTGTGGAAAAAGCCCTGGGTGCCTAGCAACAGGCAACGCTGGCGCACTGGATCTCAGCCCCAGGGCAGCCTTTCCTCCCCTGGCCTATCAATGGTCAAGGGATGGTAAAGTAGTTTAACCCCCGCCCCCACCTTTCCTCTGCAGAGACAACATATTGGCCTCCGTTGTATTTTAGCTCTAGGCCCAGAAAAGCAGCAAAACCAGGGTGACAGCTAATGACCCACTACCCTGGCACTGACCAATCAGCGGAGACCATGACCCTGCAAGGGCACACTTGGAAAACTGATGCATATTCTCTTGAAATCTCCCCTAAGACCTTTCTTAAACTCCCAGCCTTTAAAAGTCCGCAAAACGCCCAGCGGGTACTCTCCCTTCCTCTTCCTTTCCCCGCCTTTTCCCCCACAGGCCAGCATCTCCCAGACTCTAAGGGACCCCACCAGACTTGCAACCAGGGGAGCACTGGGCAATGGCGGCTCATCCAGGGCTAACCCCCTGAACCTGTCCCCGAGGCCCCCTTTCCTCTGACTCTCCAGGGAGCTGGCGGCAGCCCCGCCTTGGCCCACTGCTTTCCCGTAACGTTTCTGGAGAGCCGACCAGAGCACCGCCTGGTCTCTCTCCTGTGCTTCTTCCTTGCTTTATTGTCCCCAGCGTGTCCCTTCCTTGCTTTACTGTGCCCAGCTTTAATTAAATATCCTCTCAAAATCACTTGGATTCCACTCAGCGATTCCACTGATGGGAAAATACCCTCAGAATCCCGAAACACCAATTGAAAAGAACTTAGGCACCCCGATGTTCATAGCAGCACTATTTACAATAGCCAAGAGTTGGAAACAGCCTAAGTGCCCATTAGTAGATGAGTGGATTAAAAAACTGTGGTTCACCTACACAGCAGAATACTCTGGAGCAAGGAGAAAGGAGGAACTCCTACCCTTTGCGACAGCGTGGATGGAACAGGAGAGTATTATGCTAAGGGAAATAAGCCAGTTGGTGAAAGACAAATACCATATCATACCACTTACAAGAGGAATCTAATGAACAAAATAAACTAATGAGCAAAACAGAACTAGAGACATAGAAACGGGACAGACTGACAGCTGCCAGAGGAAAGGACGCAGGGGGCAGTGGTGGAAAGAAGGGTACTGGAGTAGTCAAAGAACATGTATGACCCATGGACATGGATAACAATGTGGGGATGGACTGTGGGAGCGGTGGATGGGCTGGGATGGAGGAGGGCAAAGCGGGAAAAATTGTGGCAACTGTAATAGAATAAACAAAAATAAAATTTTTTTTTAAAGCCAAAAAAAAAAAAAGTCACCTGGGCTCATGTTGTGCGATTTTTCCTGCACAAAATTAAGAACCCACGCGCTACCGGCCGGCCCTAGACAGACCCGCTAAGGGCCAGGTCCCCTTTCAGGTAACAATACAAGCTGGATTACATTGTTTTCCCTTCTGATTTTAAGAGAAATTAAAACACTTTCCTCAGCCTCTGAAAGCCTTGCGGGCTCTGGAAGCATGCCTGTCGTGCCTGTGGGAGAAGACAGCCCTGGGCTCACAGACCGCTGGGGACCTCGGACGGGCCTTTGCACTCTCAGGGCGGCGGGGGGCGAGGGGGGGAACGTGATGACAACTAAGGCCCAGATAAGCCTGCTGGGCACAGAGGAGGTGCCCTTCCCTGCAGTTCCCTCCTCCCTGTATGATCTGCAAGAGCCAAGAGTTGGTTGGGAGGGTTGGTGGGAAGGCCCTGGGGTTGCACAATCAGCCTCGAGAATCCTGCAGCCCAGCTCTGCCCCAGGCTGCAATTAAAAGCAGATGTGCCCTGGGCCGCCTGATTCCTGGAGAGACAGACCCTGCCCTCGGTTCACCCGCCACCCTATCCCTGACCTCCTCTCAGTATCTGGCTCCCCCTTAACTCGCAGGGGAAGTCCTCCCAGCAGGGAACTCCCAGCTTCTCTCTCCGGCTCCGCTGGCCTCCTCCCGCCCTGCCCAGTCCAGGCCAAACTCCTGGGAAACTGACCTCTCAATCTGGCC